GATTATAATAAAAACATAAGTGAAATTGATATAGGCTATCGAATGTTAAGTAAATTTCACACAACGCGCAGATTTAAGAGAGCGTATAAAAAAAAAGAATAAATAAATAAAAAAGAAAAAAGATATTTCTTTTTTATATTAATTTACTATAAAATAAAAAGAATAAGGGAGTGAATCGTCGTTATCGTCTATAAATGATTCCATAATAAGGTGGGGACGCATTGGTCGACACTTTGCCACAAGTATAACTCAAACGAACGCAAAGGGAATAAAAACATCAAAGCGATGCCAATCATATGTATGCTTATCTAAATCCCTTTTTAAGATAAACCTGTTTTTAAATGTGATATTTGCGATGTACCGTTACGTATACATAGATCATCGTTTTAAAAAGATTATCATATTAAATAAAAAAAAAAAAAAAAAAATCTACGAACCTATCTTCACCATTTATTTACTTGTACAAATCTTATAATATTATTTTTTGTTCAATCATTAAACGTAATTTCCAAGTAAAATCAATAATAAATAAAAATAGAAGACTCATCGTAGCACGGTATTATCAACAACGGTGGATACGAGCCGACTGGCAATTGTATGTCTCAGATGAATAACGTTAGTAATGTAGTATTCAGAACTATGATGCAAATGGGTTAATAACGATAAGAGTGACGGTATCAAAAGTCATGCGTCAGATTAAAAGGATGGAATAGTTCGAAATTACTTACTATATATTCAGTATGTACATACGTACATACGTATCTGTTCAGTCGCAAGAAACGAACGCGAAAGGGCGCGCCCATTCAAAATGAAAAGGGCAAGAATATTAAGAACGACAATAATAATGATGATGATGATGATGATGATAATAATAATAATAATAATAATAATGATAATAATAATAATAATAATAATAATAATAATAATAATAATAACGATAGTATCACCCTATCACCGTTTCATTGTCTTCCGTATTAAAACGATGAAGATAAAAAAGAAGAAGAAAAAAAAAATAAAAAAAGAACAGAAAAAAAACTCACGATAATATCTCGATTTTAGTATGTATAAAAGAGACGTGAAGAAAGACAGACGGAAAGAAAGAAAGAAAGAAAGAAAGAAAGAAAGAAAGAAAGAAAGAAAGAAAAAAGAAAGGAAAAGGAAGTAAAAGATCTACTAGTAACGAAGCAGAGAAGAAAAAATGGAATAATAACGAAATAGAAAATTGGATTATGAGATAAAACGTTATAGCGGATTATAAAATGGACGGCGAAGGATCAAATAAAACTAAGTGGAGTGAGTTATAGGAATAATAGTAGTAGTAGTAATAGTAGTAGTAGTAGTAGTAGTAGTAGTAAGGGATAGAGGAGAGATATTAAGGGATGTAGGGGGAGAATAAGAGTGGAAGATTTTCGAGACGTTAACCACTTGACGTACATTAAATGTCGTTAATTACAACAATAGCGACTTAATTATATTTAGAACTTTGGCACGCGTTAAATTGTTTTATCTTAATTCACGGAAAATAGATTAGTTCAAGATGTACTAGATATTAGTGTTTAAGATAATAGGATTTTGATCAATCAGAAACATGATCCAAATCTTCGATCAATCTCGATTGGGAACATTCAAAAATCATCCTTCGGATCTTATATTACAAGATAACGAATTATTATTGGTAAGAGAGAGAAAGGGAGAGAGAGAGAGAGAGCGAGAGAGAGAGAGAGAGAGAGAGAGAGAGAAAGGAGAAAATAGAAGGAGGTCGTGATCTAGTTGCTCACATATCGCTACTTATTACGAAGCTTTACGATCCATCGCTAATGGCTTCGCTTCGGCTTTACTTTGGGACTATAAATAATTTCCCGATACACTGCTCTCGTTGCTAAAAGAATAGACTTTTCTCATAAATCACACGTAAATGGTACGTAAAGCGTGACGCATGTGGTTGGTTTCAAGAAAAAGAGTAAGAGGGACAAGAAAGAAAGAAAGAAAGAGAGAGAGAGACAGAGAGAGAGAGAGAGAGAGAGAGAGAGAGAGAGAGAGAGAGCAAGAGAGAGAAAGAGTCTATGAAAATAATCTTAAGATAAAAGTTCGTTACTACTAATTGTCGCTGTATAAACCATTGAAATATGATTGTAATTAAAACACAACCAAGATCCTTTTCCCAAAATTAATAATTATTATAGCTTTGTCTATCCTATCATCGTTATTAATTATTATCATAATTTGCGATTACTTAATAAATAAATCAGTGAAAGTATCTTAGAGAGAAAGAAAGAGAGAGAGAGAGAGAGAGAGGGATAGATCGATCGATTATAATTATAATCGACCCTCGTAATTAACAGAAGCGATTAGTACGCAGTCATCGTAACGTAAACGTGCTATCAACGTAATAGATACTTACGTACATGAAATAATAATCTCTCTCTCTCTCTCTCTCTCTCTTTTGTCTATTTCTATTTATCTCTCTGTCTCTCTGTTTCATTCATCAGGAAACGAAAATGTAAAATGATATAAACGTAGATGTCGTTTTCGTTGAGTCAAATAACGACGGTCTCTATCGCGTTATGAAAGGACACTCCGCTCGAATACACGTTTCCAGTAAACATAATAAAATCGATCGGCCGAAATAAATGGTCGATTAAATTCGCGCGACCGGGGTTTGAGCAATTCTCGAGCATACCCTACCAATACATAATGGCCGATTGATTCTGATCTCCCGTGAGAGTACGATCGTCAAGATTTACATGATAAAAGAGGATTAAATAAGGGGTAAGTAGGGAAAGGGAGGAAAGGGGCCAATAGATGGACGGAAGGAAGGACGGACGGACGGACGGACGAGTGGGTGGGACGGCTCTGGGTAAAAGGAGGAGGAGGAGAAGGAGGAGGAGGAGGGGAGGAGGAGGAGGAGGAAAAGAAGGGGGAAAAAATAATAAGTAAAAAACGGAGACGCGTGCTAAATTCTGAAAGTACTCGTCTCTTAACTTCGTTAAAACTAAACGTCTCCTCTCTTCTCATATAGAGATAGAGATAAAAATAAATAGATAAATACATAGAAAGAGAGAGAGAGAGAGAGAGAGAGAGAGAGAGAATTTTGTACGATGTTATAGATCGTTATCGATCGATCATTTTGTACAACGAAATTTATTTTACAACGAAATCGCATTTTCTCTACTTTCATCTAAATCACAGGTCCTTCTTAAATTTTAATCTTAAAAAACGATTCAAAATTGCGTCAACGCTATACCGATTTAATCGCGCGTGATGCATCTCGGAGAGAAAGGAGAGAGAGAGAGAGAGAGAGAGAGAGAGAGAGAGAGAGAGAGAGAAAGAAAAGAAAAGAAAAGAAAAGGAAAGAAAATTGGAAAAACTCGACCGATATAAAATGGAACGAAAGAAAATTCGATCGACTCGATCGTATTCGTATTTTCACGAATCAAATCAATTGAAATGGTATGGTCTTTTAAAGCTTCCCTCCCGCGACAATCTCACGTTCTAGTCCCCGATCCATATGCGACGTTAAAAAAAAAAAAAGAAAAAAAAAAGAAAAAAGAGAAAAACAAAAGACAAAAAAGGAAAAGAAAAAAAAGGGAATGGCGTGTATATTAAACTCGACAAATTATTTCGTAAATTTCTCGTAAGCTTTTTCAAATGGTTTTTCCAACCATTGAAAAAATGCGAATCTATTCGAACGAATGACATATCGAGTTGTTGTTTTGCCTCTTTTCCTTTATCTTTTAAACGATATACATACACACACACACACACACACACACACACACACACACATATATATATATATAATCGTTGTACTATTATATGTATTTTATCGTCGTCAACGAGATTATTTCGAGCGAATAATATGCGTACACTTCGATCGTGTCGTTATGTAACGTGACAAATATTGAAGAAATTTTCATTTTCTTCTTTTCTTTCTTTTCGTTTTTTTTTTTATTTTTTTTTCTTTTTTTTTTCCCCCAGTAGAGTGAGAAATTACGTTAAAAGGAAGGGAGATTTAAGGAAATAACAAACAAACCTATGAATGAACGAACGAACGTAATAAACAAACGTAAAAAAAAAAAGAAAAAAAGAAAAAGTATAGAAATGAGAGAAGGCCAAGGACGCCGAGCGAAATGACGATTTTTATCAAATTAATGTGTTAACGGTAGGATACCCAACGAATCGAGACGCTTCGAGATAATCGAGATCACAACCACCCTTTAATCTACGATTTACCGGCAGCAAAATCCTCCTTTTCTTTGCACGTACTTATCTCCAAGAAGAAAGTCTATCTCAAAGAATAAAAGTCGCACACTTTCGTAGACGACAATCGGAGAGAGAAAGAGAGAGAGAGAGAGAGAGAGAGAGAGAGAGAGAGAAATCGTATATATGTATAAAGATTTTAATAGATCGCGAGTTAATTAATTAACACAAGTAATACGATAACGAGCGAGAAAATGATTAAAAAGAAAAAAAAACAACAACAACAACAATAACAACAACAACAACAACAGCACGCGTTATCCAATCAACTTTTTACTTTCTCAGGAATTGTTTTCGACCAATTGAAAAATTCATCCACGAATACGATTGTGACGATCTAATTAAAAAGAAAAGAAAAAAGAAAAAAGAAAAAAGAAAACAAAATTTCTTTTTTATTCGTTCATTCGATAAAACCAAAGCGCGAGAGCCTTTAATTTATAATTAATGTTAAAAAACTGTTCTATTTATCTATCTATAAGATAGGTAGATAGATAGATAGATAGATAGATAGATAGATAGATAGATAGATAGATAGATAGATAGATAGATGGATAGATAGAGAAATAAGGGTGAAAGAGAGAAAGAGATAGAGAGGACGAGGGCGAGGGAGAAAAGAGAGAGAGAGAGAGAGAGAGAGAGAAAGAAAGAGGAAGAGAGAGGGAGAGAGAGAGAGGAAGAGAACGAGTTAAAATGAGAACAAACAACTTGTAAGAACGTAAGAAAATTATCGAATCACTCAC